GGCGTTTCCTCAGTTTCTCAGTCCTTGTGTTTACTGAGTCCTTCACTTATAACATTATCATTTATGGGCCGTGTGGAGGAGGGCTGCTGCTTCATTCTTCCTCTTTTTCCTGTAAAGTGCTGCATAAATAACAACCGACTGACGACACAAATGTTCTGTTCTGCTGGCGAGGATGTGAGACTGAGGGAGTGTTTTCTTCTTTAATCTACAGCTGGATATGAATAAAATATGGCATAAAATTAACAGAGTTTAAATTGGAAGAACAGAAGTGGACTGAACCTCCTGCTCAACCCAGGAAGCAGCGCCGCTCTAAACACACTTCATCATATAAAACCCGACTATTTCTAAGAACTCTGAAATGAAGCCGAGCATTCGGGGGTCACGCGCAGCCCCGTGTGGACGTGCACGCCACGTCCCGTCACTCCGAGAGTCGGCTGATTAAAGCCGACAGTGAACATGTGGCGGGAAGGTCTGAGCGTGAGCAGCAGGTCGCCTCGGCCCCGGCCCGAGTCACGTCCACGTCAGGAGCAGCGCCGGGGCTCAGGATCACCCAGAGGTCACGCTGAGGCTGATCGAAGACGAGGGCCAGGGTTTAAGTCCAGGGTGAAAACGTTTATGTAATCTGTGGCAGGCTGGATGCAAGATGTTGGAGCGTGTACGGCCGCCATGTTGTCACCGGTTGAGCCAACATGTCTGCAGGTCCGACGCAGAGCGCTGCAGGACGAGGGCATGTTGTCAGGAGTTTACACCACAGGTCACTGATTTACCTTCATTTAAAGCTGTGTGAGTTTCATTAAGGAGGAATAACACCAGAAAGATGCTGAAGATGCCACCTACGGCCACCTTTACCACCAAAAATTTAAAAAAAAGAGCAATTATTTTTCACATGCCTGAATGTTGTGTAGAAAAAAAAAAGACTTAAATACTTAAGAAATAATCAGCTCTAATGAAATGACCTCCAACAAGAGCCGGCAGAGAAACTGAATCTGACTCAGAGAGCAAAGAGCAGTTTGGATGAATATCGACTCTGGTTTACTGCTTTTTGTTGGGTTGTTTTTGCCCCTTTTCCTTTAGCGAGCTTTAACAGAGCCCCAGACAGGAAATGGTCAAAATACAATTAAATCAATTTAGCTCGAACGTGGGAACGAAATGCTAATTCATTCCCACATTATAGCTAAATTGTGGCCACGATTTAATTTTGTTTTGACCGTGTCATGTCTGGGGCTCCGTATGCTTTAGCTTTCTGTGAGTGTAAAAGATCTGCAAACTTTCAGCTGCCTAAAACATTTGAAGTCCAGGTTACTCATATCCATCGCCACCTAACACGAATTTGAACAACAAATGAGCAGCAGTCCAACATCATTTCACCACCAGTGCTGCTTCTGCAGGAGTCACGTCTCTCTGCAGAAATCTGGGATTATTGGACGTAGTAAACCTCGGTAGTGCCGGCTGACCAATCAGAGCAGACGTGATGAACAGGACGGGGACGGTTTGGTTTTGCTGTTTGGTTTTCTAAACATATTCCAGCAAACGCAAAAAAGAAAATTCTAAACTTGAAAATGTGCACAATGTGGACATCATCACACTCTCTGCAGTTAGCGGCCTGTATTCATGATAATCTTTAAACAGCTGACTAAAGCGATAAACTTAAAAAATGTGGAAAATCACACTTTTTGAGCCGTTTCAGTCAAACCTGCTGCTGGTTGGTAGCTCGCTGATGGTGTATGTTGAATGAACTACGGCTAAACTTGAGCTACAAGTAGGATTTGCTGACCGTACCAAGCTAACATGAGCTCATTTCAAACAGAACATCTGGCTGTGCAGGTTTCTTTAATGTCTTCACATCACCTCCCCTCGTGTGTCTATTTCCTCATGCAGTAAAAAACAGACTGTAAATAGACAATACTGCGTGAAAATGTGACGCTGGCAGCGCGTGGACAAACAAGACAGAGCAGGCGGCAACGTATGGCCGTGATTCAATCAGGAGGGAAAAGCAAGAAATCGCCACAAACCGACTACGCTGTGATTTACTGCTACGCTGCTGCAGGTTCCCCCGTTACACACTGTTCTTCATGCATCCTTAGCTTTCATGGAACCCTCCATCTAACTCATGCAGGACGAGCGCGTGCAGGTTCCTCACGACTTCAGGCGCTCGTAAATGACACGTTCTCTGTTATCGTATGGACACGAACGACACACAGACCTGCTCAGCAACATAAACCAAACATCACAGTTTAAAGACGCTCGTCGTACAGTGTGTTCTCTCTGCTGCACATGGTTAAACCACACACACACACACACACACACACACCAGTGTACTCTCTGTCTCTGCTTTCCAACCTCGCCTGCTAGATTTATCGATGCAGCACTTTTCAGTCTGTCTCCATGGTGCGTTGGTCCGCCAAGCCATTTAGGATATTGTAGTGCTGCAGCGGTCAAGTCTGGCACAGTGCAGGCTAAAAACACACACACACACACACACATTTTGTCCTCGCTGCTCGTTCTATCTGCCTGATAACCGAGAAATTGATTTTAGAGTCAAATCCCATTTCCCTAAACCCAGACTCAAATGAACCCAAAACTGTTCCCGTAATCCAGAACGTAGCGTCACCTCAGAGCAGCTACATTTAAACTGCCATCGCCAGAATGGGCTGCGTTCAATGTCACAGCGCCGGAGCGTGATGTGGGTGATCAGCTGAAGATCACCGTGTGCTGCTTGTTGTCAGAATAAATGTCTGTAGTGCTGTTTAATCAGATTCAGGCGGTGATGATGCACTCACAGCTGACACTGGTCTCCCTTGACGCCCTTGGTGGTGCAGAAGCACTTCCCCGTGTTGACGTGGCAAACGTTGGCGTGGCTGTTGCACTGGCACGCTGCGAACACAAAGGTTGAGAGGGGAGAGAGGAACATGTGTTAGGACCTGCTGGAGCAGAAACACGACAGTTTCAGGCAAATACTGCTGAGGTTTCCATTAATCTACTGCTCAGCATCCTGCACGCTGTACACAAACACAGTCATCCCTGAGCATTGTGGGTAATAACGTTCCAGGTGATGACATGAAGGAGAAGACGGTGGAAGAAGGAGAGAAGGTAAAAGAAAAGGTTCAGAAAGCAAAGATGAAGGAGAAAGAGGAGGTGGAAAAGAACACGTCGGTCAAACTCAAAGCATCCTGATGCTCTGAGCGGTTAGCTCCTGATTTATGTTCTTCACTTTTACCTCAACAGGTGAGCACACAACAGCAGACACAGACGTAAGTAAACATGTTAGACCACAGCTTTGGGTTTGTTTCTCTGTGAACAAGTCAGAAAATCAGAAGTTTAGCTGCAGAGCTGCAGCGTGGAAACGACTGTGAGGTGACTGCAGGTTAACATTTGTTCTACCGTCCGGCAACAGAAACAGAACAATATGTCAATGAAACAAGTCGTACTGGGAACATGAATGTGTTTAAATACAGCATCAGTGAGCACAGAGAGCAGGAGAGAAGGAAAGCTCAGGCTGAACTGAAAACCACAAAACCAGTGTTCTGTTTGTTTCTTGGTTCTCAGGATGCAGAATAAAACCCGTTCATTTAGCAGCTCCAGTGTGATCATCAGGAACACTTATGACAACCACCAGCCCTTTAAAGACACAACGGTTGTATGAACACTGTTTTAAGACAGACCTGGAAACCTCAAAACTGCCCCACTGAACACTGAAGTCACCAGTAATGCACAGATCATAGTTACACCACGTTAAATCTGTGGACTGGGCGAGTCGGGTCAAAGAAACACATTATTTACAGAAGATGTGAGAGAAACCTGAAAACCAAGAAATAAATAATCATAAAAAAAGAGCAGAAAAGTTCCATGAACCATGATAAGTAATGTTACTGTATGGTTGCATTTACATCCCAGTAGGAAACGAAACAGATGATGGAGTGTCGGTCTCTAAATATGAGGAAACAATTCATTAAAACTGACTCACAGACTGATCAACAGATGGATCCATCTATCAGATGTAGGATCATTCAGATCCGACACAACTTTAAAACCACCGGCGGGTCGACGGCACCACCTGGTTGAACACAATGTTCTGCTGGGAAACCTTTGGTCCTGACTCCAGTGGGGACGTTTCTTTGACTTGCACCATCCACCAAAACATTGCAGCAGCACTACAAGCTCAATTTCAGCTCGAGGAGCTCGACCAAGAGCATCAGACCTCATAACTCCTCAGATGCCGAACTGATCAAACATCCATGAGACACACCAGAACAGTTCTGACATTTAGAGGTCCCAGTCTGCAACCCAGAGGATCTACATCCTGGTACCAGACACCATAAAGCCATAAAGGATGTGTTCAAGTCTGGGGAGAGCTCCACCGTATGAAGCAGGTTGGTGTAAATCATCAACTCATCACCCACCAGAACAAATGGTTCTACTGGAGTTGATGAATCAGGTTCAATCTGTCTATTAGCAGGTAAATAACTGCAGAAGAGTCCAACTCCAAGTCTCAGAGGTGCAATTAACCGGTACCAGCAGCCGGTCACACACAAAGCTATCGATCTGGACTTGTGTGCATGCATGTGTTCTGTTTGGTAGTAAAACCCCGTCTGTAAACTTCTGCAGCCTCGTGTAGAGCAGCTGGTTCCATCCTGGAAATCCATCTTTGTTGCAGGTAGTCGGCTTTAGATTAGAGTCGGGGCAACATGGGAGCCTTCTCCTTCTCTCTTTCCTTTTTTTTGGTGAATCTAATCTTTGTAATCGTTTTGTTATTTAAAAGCAGAGCATGATGCAGCCAGATGATTCACATGGAGCCAAGCCTGTAATTTAAACACTAAATCACTGCTGCACCGAGCGACCGAGACAAACAAGAACGTTCTCTGTACCCTTGTGTTGCATATATTCACAGAGCCACCTCGCTCCGGTGTGCCACTCCGGCAGAATTGACTTTGTGCTTTGTTCTTATTCTCTCCAATTGGCTCCGAGACAGGCCCTGTAATAAAACAGCGCCGGGCTCGGGTCAAGGTAAAGCCAAGGCACCGGCAGATAATGAGAGGAAAACAACCTCTCCTGTTTCCTCCCCTTCTTCCCGGGATGAGGGCCTGATGTGATCGCTTTCACGGAGCAAAAAACACAAAGCAGCGCCCATAATGGTCGCTTTAAATATTTAGATTTCTGTTTTTCTTGTGCACACACACACGCCAGAGAAAAACAAGGCTGCGCAGCGGGGCGTCTAAATGTCAGCGGGCTGAAAGTCGAATTGACGTTCTTGAAGTTGTGAAGCAGAGACAGCAGAGGCAGCGACAGCAACACAATCTCAATCCATTACTTTAAATTAGATTGACCCGTCGCAAAAAATAGAAATGAACCTTTTCACACATGCACAGCCAACTGTAAGGGCTCGGCAGATAACAGGCTCCAGACAAAACGCCGGCTTTCAGACTTGAGATAATAGACAAATCACAGGTGTGTTAGCGCGCTCTCGGGTCACCCTGCTGTTCAGGCAATATTGATTTAGCAGGCGGCCAACAAAGGCGCACAAAGGACACGGCCGCAGAAACACGCATTCATCTGCTCACACAGATTTTAGCTGCTGATGGCACTTAAAGAATGAAGAAGAACAGAAACACTGAAGTCCCAACATCTCCTGTCTCAGTTCCCTCGATGCATCTTCGTCCCTCCTCAGCAGAGGCACAGCGGAGGTGACCAAGAGAGAAAAGTTTTAGTTTAAAACAACACTAATGAAATATGACACGTGGCTTTGTTGTTCTGTTACAGCCGGATTCTGTATTTTATCTCTGGATGCTCAAAATACAGAAAAAAGGGTTCATTTAACTGACATGTTCAATGTAGAAAACAGAAATAAATAAAAATAATTTGTTCTTCTACCACGTTTTATTATAAAAATCCACATTTCTTCTTCTACAAAAAAAAAAAATGTAGATAATAACCTGTAAAATCCTAGAAAACAAAATCTATTCATTTACCTGTTAACTACAAAAATTAATACTAATAATCTGTATTTTTATAAATTCTAATTACTTAGTGGGGGTTTGCGATTCTTAAATCGTTATAAAATTTCACCGTTTTACTGTAAATCTGCTAAAAATATCACTTTTTTTTTTTTTTTTTACAGATATTTGTCTTATTGTGACAAAAAAAAGACGTATATTAAGGACTAATATATATAAATTTAAAAAAAAAATATATATATATATATATAATAATTATATATATATATATTTTAAATTTTTTTTAAAGTTATTTTATTTTTTAAAACTTATTTTAATTAGACATAATAACTACAATAAATCCCAGAAAACTAAATTACATGTTGAAAATCTAACAGACCAAACTGCACCTAATGCCCACATCAAAATTTATGTATTTTACAAATTGTAATCAGTAGTTCTGTGACGTATAAAATTACCTTAAAATTGCACCGTTTTATTTAAATCTGTTTAAAATCTCACGATGCTGCAGAAATGATTTGTCTTAATGTGAAACTAATTGATGCATATTAGAGACTGAAAAGGTAAAAACATGATATTTACATGTTGACAGTCTGAACTGTAATTAGTTCTCCTGTGATGTGTAGAATTACCGTAAACTTGCACCGTTTTCCTGTATTTAAATCCCATAAACAGATATCTGCAGCGGTTTTTAAACTTTCTTTCAGGCACCAGAGACAGAAAGAGAAGAAGTGTTTTGATTCTGGATCTTCACACGAGGAGGAGACTCGCTGTGTTTCCACCGACGAGCCTCAAAGGCCTAATTATAGGTTGAATTAAGACACTTCAGCAGACAGACACAACACCGCCTCCTAGGGTCACCGCTTGATGATAAAAAGAGTAATTATTAAAGATCTCACAGTGTAACGGAGGAAACTCTGAGGCAGGGAGCTGCGTTACCGTCCTCCCTCTCCTCAAACCACCGTGAGAATCCCCTCAGCAGAGCGTTCGGGTTCGGGTTTCCTCCCCGATGCAGGCCGGCGCTCTGCTCTGCACACCGATGACTGGGAGACTTGAAACTCCAGCGTTTCAGGAATGCTGGAGCTGCTTCAGACTCTGATGTGCAACAAAAGCCTGATCTCCAACACCAGCGAGCTAAGTTGGTTTTGTCGTCGGTGTTTCTATGAGCTACGATCCTGCAGCTGCTGCAGAACTCCAGACTGATAACAATGAGAAGCCTCACACCTGTGGAGCACCCTGCATGGACTACCTGTTAGACAGAGTGGATTTTAAGGCTCTTTTATTCATTAATACATTCATGCACGGCTCCGTTTGAGGAATCCTTCTCTACCTTCAGGCCTGTTCTCAGAACAGCTGCTGCTAACTGCTCCACGATGGAGGCTGCTGGGAAACAACAGCAGCTCCGAATTCCTTCAATCAGACGTCCTTTTAAGTAAAATCTCAAGTCGTGCATGTTTTTAATGGCTCTTGGCTGCTCTTAATGGTGGTTTTAATGGATTTATTTTTTATTAAATGCATGCTGTCTTCCTGTTTTATTTAGTTTTTTGCCATTTTTATATTTACAAGTTGATTTTAAAGGTCTCTATCCTGTCCTCTGCCGACTTCGCTCGCTTTAAAACACGCTACGTTAAAAAAATTAATTTAAATCTATTCTATCAACTATATAAGTGGATGCAGGTTGTTTTTGGATTTTATTTAGATTTTTTTGTTTTGCAAATTGATTTCCTGAGTCTGTCTTGCTTGTTGCACATAGTTCTTATAACATTTACAGCATGTTGGTCGACTCTGCTTGCTTTAAAAATATAAATAAACATTTCTATTGACTACCTACTTGGATGCATAGTTTAGTTTGTTTGACCATTTCATTTTATAACTCTATCTGTTGTCGTTGCCTGTCTCATAATGTTTACAGCAACAGTCTCT